TGCTACAAGAGTGGGACAGTCGTTTTGAGGACGCTGAAAGCCTGCACAGCGATTGACCACGTTTGGCGCGCGACTTTTCTTTCCAAATCAAAATATGTCGACTCTATCCAAGACCTACATCATTTTCTTCTTCTGGGACTTCAGGACTTTTGTTGCGAGCACTCATCAGATAAGCACTTCTTTGCGCTATAACCATCACTTGATAACCAAAAGCTTAACATGAATGTCCGTTCGTATCAGGGAAAAGAAAAGCATGAAGCGTTAAGGACTCCCTGACAGCTTATGCAGAATATTTGTCATACATCTTTTCGCAAGTGTGTAAAGCCAAAAGTAGTGTTCTTTCCCAAGCTCTTGTCTCAAGTTGCACTTTACTGTCATATTTTATACTAGTTTGCAGTGTTTTTTCATCGGTCTCTTAGAAGTCGCAATCCAGAAGCATGCGTCTGCCATTGAGATCAGTCTTGTGCAATATTAAGACTTATATCCAGCAACGTTTTTAGTGGAGTTGAAAGGCGCACAGGGTAGACTTCAGAGGCCTTCCTTTAAAATTTCGTGCTCGCGCATGGCAAAGTTGCTAGGATACACCGCTCTCAATCGTGATGCCCGGGTGCGATTCCCGGCGTGAGAAATGGGGCAACTGTTTTCAGCGTGCACTTCAGTAGAGAGTGTGGGCTCCTGCTTGGTTCATGGGCTAGGATACAAGGCTCTGACCGGTGAGGCCAGGGCTTGAGTCCCGGTGCGGATGTGAAGGCTATGTCTTGTTGGGGCAGTGGTCTTAAGTGTATCTGCATTTGCCCGAACTAACAAGCTCTTTCTTTTACGCCGCCGGCACTCTGCCCCTTGTAATGTGATACATTGGTATGGTAGGCATCTGCCATGTCAGGAAACCATGCTTCACTTGTGACAATTACATTCTAGAAGCAGGTACAATATGCTTACAAAGTAGCAAGTGCCACTGTGCCGCTACATACGTCTATGGGTTTGGCCTTATGTGTTATCCGCTGCAAACAACCAAGGCAGAGGACTTCAGTAGCAAAGGGTGGGCTCGTCGCTATCGGCCATTGTAACACCCTGTTGATATATTGCACATGTTTCTGGAATGCAATTTACGTAGATATAGCACGGCTTCCTGACACGGCAGATTTGGAAAATACTACCAGGTGCCTAACGTGCCAGAGTATTAAACTGCAAAGGGCAGAGTGATGTCAGTTTGACACAAGGACGTTCCTGCAAATACAGAATGCAATTAATTACCATATAAATCACAAACACCACGCGTTTCATTTCGGTGATGGTATGCGCACAGAAAACAGGCACCTTATTTCCCGCACCGGGAATCGAACCCGGGCCTCACGGGTGAGAGCCGTGTATCCTAGCCACCAGACCATGCGGGAGGCGAGTTGTTCTTGATGGCCCATGAAGAACTCCCTGCACGTCTTTCCACTCCCAGAAGAACATCACTTGGTGACAGTCTTGATAATGCGCATGACGTAATGCAATGGCGGACATTTCTTCTAAACTGCGGTTTCGAAAAGAACAACGTGATGGAAACGACTACAAACCAGCACGTGTGCAATAGGGTGCATCATCAGCAGCAAAACCAAGCGAGACAAATAAACTGCTTGGCGCAGGAGTCCAAAAGTACACGGCATTGCCAAAGTTCTTCCCAAAAACTCAAATTCGTGACGCCCGAGCCGATGGAAATATCGCCGTAAAGCGACACCCGGTATTGCAGTCACCAGATGCTGAGTGCCGCTCGCTGCCGAAGGTAACACCAGGCCGTGGGCGGTAAGCGATACAAAATATTTGTGCGTTTGGAAACGATGTCACCGAGCACTCCTTAAACCGTCGTACGAGAATGCCCCGGTCTAATGTCTAATGTGCGGATCAAACAATGCCCGATCGATTGCCCTATGGCGGAAAATTTATGTACTGTTGAGTATAGACTCGTACGAGTATGTTGGTTAGTATTGCTTTAGACTTTCACTTCTCTAAGACAGCACAAGTGATGCAAACAAAACCATGCATAGCATATGGCTCAGAATATACTATCTGGTGTACAACCTAATACATATAGCAAGTTCTGCGGTCTGTACAATGGGCGTAGGGAGAGGGGGGAAGGTAGGGTGACCCTACACACATCTTGCTCCTCGCCGAGCCTGCGTTTTCGATGCGCCGTCCCAAAGCAGCTGTTCACAGACTGGTGACCCAAAAGGCATGTTGGCGGAGATTCTACGGTAGCAGAAATACCTTTGCAACTGTGCTCCACATATTGCTCAATCTCCAGCTCCAGCCCCAGACGTCCTCGGCAGTGCGGCGCTGGTCGCACTCCTTGTGTGAACCAGATATGGCCAGATTGCCAGTAGAGTTGCCACTTTGTTCCGCAGCTCACAGTCGCTAGGTTTTACGGTGGGGTCTGTGTGACTGGTCCATGCCAGGGGTCATGTTGTTGTACCTCACGGTCCAGAAGTTTGTCGCTGGGATGGTGAAGACCCTGGGCTGAAGAAGACCCTTGATTCGCTGCTCACGAGCTGCGCGACGATCGCAACCACCTGTTCGCGGACCATGCGGTTCTCATCCTACACCATGTCCAGCAGCAGCTCTCCGGACGGACCTAGCACCCGTTACGCTGGGGACTGGCTGCACCGGCCTAAGTGCGCTGCAGGCAGCCTACGGAATAGCACGATGCTCCGGAACAAGCTGCATAAGCCACAGTCGCATCTGCTGTTCTGCCGGATGGCGGACTACACCGGCACATAGTGCGCCAACCGCG